ACATTTTTCTACAATCTCTCAATTAACTAATAGTTATTATTTAATTTTTATTATTCTTCTCTTTAACCTTAATTGTTTTATCTGTTGCTACGTTTTGCTAATTTTTTCATGACGTCAACACGCTATAAATTGTTTATTACAATTTGATAAATTACTTTCGCATTAATTTTATTGCTTCTATGAATGTTTCATTTTTTTTTTTCTATAAATTTTTCCTACATAATTTTTCTAGTTTCGGCAGATAAAAAGCTGCCGCCGCTTTGCTCGAGAAATTTATCTTATAATTTTTGTTTTGTTTACATTGATTCTGTATATGTAAATGTTTGTTATTTTTACACTTTAACGCTGTCTCGGCCGACGTTGACAGCGACGTCAACTGCGCAACATTTCTCACAGTTGTGGCAGGTGCGCCATAGCGGCCGCCACTTGGCCCCAAACAAACTAAACGATTTGGACCCAATCGCCATTATGATTCAATAATTTATAACAACAAATGCCATCAATTTYAATGTGCGAAAAATAAATACAAACAAAATATAAATATAGCTTCTTTAAATATATGAAAATATGAAAATGTGAAGATAAGATAAAACTAATGAATGCCAAACGCTTATACCCTCTCTGAAAACTAAAGAATATATGATTTCTATATAAAAAGAATTTTAGATCTTTACTGAACGATAAAAATGATCTATGATGATATTATATATCACTCAAAATTTACGTAAACAAGAGAAGTAACTGGAATAATATGTCAGTTCCTTGGAAACAAAATCAGCGATTTACTTTGAAATTTGAGGCAATTGTTTAAGTTCAAAATTTTCTATAAACATATACAATCTTAATTAATATATATTTCAGCAAAAATCTAAACGCTTTATATACAAAACATTTGCTGTCCAGATAATTTACAGCCAGATAAAGTCTACAGCGAAAAACTGAGCAATTGCACACGTAAATTAAACAAAAAACTGACAACTTGTTCATGTCCATCACAAGCAGAGCAAACAATAGGCTYCATTTGATATTTGATTAGGGTATGCATAGTATATGTATATATGTATACATAGATATATACTTATTATATATATAAGATTAATATATATATAGAAAAGGTAAAATGTTTCAATGTAGCGAATGCGTGAAAATTGGCATATGTTGGTGGAAATTTGTAGAGGCCATTTTGAAAATGTGAAAAATATAAGGGAAAGTAATCAAGGCGGCAACGGGTGGGGTGGGCTGTGAAAATGGCCTGGCAAACAGCTGTACGCTAAGTGGCGGCGTCTTCTACATACACAGAGCTGATGAGTTTTTTATTTCAGCTCAATTTTTAGCCATGGGCATTAAAAACTTTGCTACTTTATCGCAGAAAGTTAGAGAGAGAGAGAGAGAGCAATACAACGGCATAAGGATCTCATATCTCCCTCTGTCTGTTGACATATCTTGTCGTGCTGCGGCTCAGCTGCCACGCCCACAGCAATGGGTACTGCTAATACCTTCATTACATTCAACTGCTCAAAGCCAAGTTAATTCAATTTGTGCAAATGAATGCGCACATCACAGCAGAGTGCGGCGCATCGGGGCTGCCCTGGCAAGGATGCGGGATTAAGTATTTCACAATGTCCACAAGCAAAAGTGAAAGCAGAAAATAAAATGAAAATAAAACTAAAATCGCTGGCGAACTAAAACAAAATTATAAACATTAAATCCGTTTTGATGCTTCCCCTTTATTTTTAGAAGAGAAAAAACTTTTGCTCGCTGGATGAGAAAACTATTTTGATTACATGCACTCAGATAAAACTAGATAATGGATTAAAACTTAGATTCAATTTACTGCAGAAACTGGACTTAAATGGCAAACAAAAGTTATGATGTTATATAAAAATAAATATTATCATGTTCTCTATTATTTTATTTTGTTCGTCTGCTTCTAGATTTTAGAAGTTCAGCTTTCATTTTAGTTAGTTCGGATACTAGGAGACCAAGAGATAATTCGCTTCCCTTCTCTATCAAGAATTAGCTATAAAGTTTACTGTTTCGATATCAGGAAATTTATATAGGACTGACAGACTGACAGCTGCGTTTCTCTGAGTGTATCATTGCGTTTACATCGAAAATATCATATTATTTATATATGCAACATATTCCAATTTGCATTTAGGCGCTTGTTATTGATTCACTTCAATTACAAAATGCATGCCAATAGATATTCGAGTATATAGTATTTTCATGGTATTTAATTATATAGTATTTAGTTTATTCACTTTTCTATAGAATTTGACCAAACCCATTTCACAATTTGCAATGCAATCCAATGCAGCTAACAAGAATAATAATTATAATGACCAAAACATGTCGCGCCATGGCAACAACAACAGCAACAACAACAACAACCACAACAAAAGTAAACACAATTCTAATGCGCTCGTATTTTAAAATGCAAAAAGCTAAGCGTGCACTTAATTGTATTGCAACAAAACAAACATAATTGCATTTTGTTTATATAAATCAACTACAAAATACCCTGGAATTATGGCTAACAACTGTCGCTAAGCGCTGCTACAAATATAGTTGACTAGATTTTTGCCTTTGATATCAAGTTTTTTGGCAAAAGCATCTTAAGGGAGAGGGAGAGAGAGCGTGAGAAATAGAGACAGAGATTGAACGAATGAAAGCGAAAACACGTACCGCCAAATACATATATATTAAAGAAGCAGAGAACAGAAAAAAAAAAAACAGACAGCTACTCAAGTAGCCAAAGGCGTGAAAAAGGTCAAAGGCTGCGCTAATGGTGTATGGTATGGGGGCGTGGCTAGCCCGCAAGGGCTTAAGCAGTAGACAAATATATATGTATAGTGGATTATATATGTATACAGATATGAATTTCTGCTATTACTTCTATATACTTTTTTATATTTATGTATACTTTTTTAAGATTTATGATTTTTCTTCAAGTTTTAGTATCATTTATTTATTTTGTGTCTTTTATATAATTTATAATTTTAGTTTTCTGCTGCAGCAATTTCTTCTATATACCTAAATATACCTATATATACATCACATACACATACACACATATTTATTTACATCGCAGACATGTTTTAAATGCCTTTTGTTGACATTATGGCACATTTATTTATWTTTATAACAATTCTTCTGCTTAAGGGTATTCAAATATGACTTTTGGTTTTGGCTTTGGGCTCTCGACATTTGGCATTTGATTTAGATTTATATATATTATTTATTTATTACGTTTTATTTAATTTTGATAGACAGCTGTCGAGTTTTTGTTTAGTTTTATATAATTTTTTTTTATAGATACTCAGCAAATGTTTATCTATTGGACGCGCTTATCAGCTGATTAGAATTTTCAATGCTGAATGTTGTATCTTTTTTTTTTTTTTTATTATATCTTCTGTTTATTTTATTGGGATTTCCTGTTGGGGTTTCCGCTTTAAATTGCACACAGGAATTTCCGTTAGAAGGGGAAAATTTATATATATTAACTTTTGGTAACAAATTTCAGAGAAAGTGTGTTTTTATTTATTTTTTTATTTAGTTGTAAGCGAGTAACGTTAAGATTGGCTGTAGATGTTATATGGGTTGGGGATGGAGCAACTGCTGCTGCTGCTGCTTCTGCTGCGGGTGCTGCTGCAACGAATACGCCAAGAAGCGTTCGCGGGCGTTTGACCGCGCATCTGCAGGCTGGCTGGCTGGCTGGCAGGCAGGCAGGCAGGCAGTGAAGCTTTAGGAAGAGACAGTGACAGCGACAGCGACAGCGATGACAAAAAACACACAGACGCGACGATGAACCTATTGGCTTTAACTCTACGAATCAACTGGAGCAGCAGGCAGCGGCCGCTACGCAACGAAGCCGACAGCAATAACAACAACAACACCAACAACAACAGAGCAGCGCGTGAACCGCCAAAAAAGAAAAGCTTTCAAAGAGAGCGCGTGAGCGAGCTAGAGCGAGAGACACTCAGGCAATTAGCGCGCTAGCTAGCTGCCATACGCTGCGTATACGTAATGTACGTGAAGCTAAAGCTTTACTCTCTCTCCCTCTTGCTCTCTCACACTCTCATACACTGGTTTTATTGCTGTTATCTATGAACGACATAAAAGCTATACAAAAATCTCATACAAGCATTGCCAAAAATGTCGAAAACAGTTACAAGAGGATCTCAAGAGCAAAAGGGGCAAACGGTATACTAAATATTTTATATTTTTATATTATTTTTTCCAATTTAGCAATTTTATTGTAGATTTCATTTGGAGCGAAAAGTCTGAGAGAAAATTGCATTAACCATGAAAGAATGTCGCATAGAAGACTTTCATATATAATTCAAAGAACATACTTGCACACATACACGTACACACACATATGCACCCACGCACGAGCAAAAATCTCATTAAATCCTGCTATGAATTTTAAACATATTGCAGACAAGCCCGAAAACTAGTTCAGCAGCAGCCAATGGAATGCCAGCAGGAGCTACCGCAGCAGCATCCTTAACAATAAAGCACATAACGTTGAAGAGCGAGAAATTTGAAGAGAAAGCCAACTGCAGAGAGAGGGAGAGAGAGAGAGCGCGCGCTTTAGTGAATGGCATACACGCTTTTCATGTGAGGTAGGACCATGAGAAGCAAATGAGCTTTCCTTGCACAACAAACGAAAACTTTGAAAGCTGCTTAACAGCGCGCTGTTAAGGTTTTGTATAAGTAGAAAACTGTTAAGTTGCTAAAGTTTCGCATATGAGCCACTGTTAAGAGTAGCAGAGAATGAAAAAAATAACAGAGCGAATACTGCTAACAGCGGTGATAACAACTGTTTGCTGGTCAGCTAACAGCGAATTAAGACTAACAGACACACTCTCAAACTGCCTTTTGGCGACTGTTAAGATAATAGGACTCAGCTATAACAGAACAGCTTGCTGCTAACATCTGTTTACAGACAAACTGTTAACAATCAACAAATTTACTTGATATAAAAAACGTACCTTATTATCACTATCTGTAGTATTGCCCGATCCAAAGCTGGCCAAAGAGCAGCGATCGTGATCATTTTCAGTGAGTGGCTCATCCAGATCACGCGAGGATCGCTGCGAGGAACCCGAATGCTTGGCAGGCGACTTTGGCAATGTAAGCGAGGTGCCCGAGAAGCAAGTTTCCTGCATGACCTCACGCAGTTTCTTGACCCAGATCTGAAAGTTCAAGAAATACAATATTAGTAGGGCATTTACTCATTTGCTATGAAATCCAAATCTCATTACCTGTTTGGTCTCCAGGCCGTTTGCTTTGAGCACAATGCGACAATCGGATAGCATGGGCGAACGTCCTGTCCACACAGCAAACTTTGTCTCATCGCCTTCGATGTGCTCCGTTATGCCCATATCGGTGGTCATCAACTTGCTCTTGAATTGATATTTGACCACATTCGATTCTTTGACCTCCTTGGCGAACAGTAAATACAGCTCGAATAGGAATACACGACGCTCGCGTCCTTTGCGTATTATTTGCTTTGTGTCCCACGCCTGGAAGGCATCCTGTAGCACTACCTCTCCGAGCTTATCCACCGAGACATCACAGTTCTCGAGCAGGGACAGATGCATGGCATCATTCGCTTTTTTCGGCACATTCAACATGACCTCGAGGCCTTCTTTGATCTCACCATGGCTGCCCTCGCAGCACGACAGCAGATCCTTGAGCAGCAATTGATATTTGGTAATACGTTGCACGGGTTTTATGAGATATGCGGGCAGCGGATGCTCCACTTCGAGACGTCGTTGCAGCTCCTCGAAATAATTGCCCGCATGCTGCACGAGCAGATTATTCGATGTCGGCTTATTCTTGCAATAGTGCACATACATATCGAACTTAACAGCCCAGGTGACAAAGCAATGGCCCACATCCTCCGGCATGGTCTCATACTTCTCCAGCTCCTTCAAAAAGATCTTCTGATGGAAATGATGTATTTCCCGGATGTTACCGAAGATGATATCCTCCTGGCCAACCAGAGCAGCTGGCACGTTGCGTCCACTGCGAAACTCCTCGAGGAAACATTTAATGCAGGTGGCCAAGTCGTTGACATAGGCTCGCTCCGTCTGCATTAGCTCCGCCATGATGAACTCTTTTCGGCGCGCCGACTTGCGTTTCTCCTCGTTGATCTCTTTGCTGATGGCCGAGCTAGCTGAGGTGGTTAGCTTTGCCTCCAGCGTGGGATCGGAGTGTCGATCGGTGCTGCCGGATGCGCTGCTAATCGAGCTATTCGCGTCCGATTCGGGCTGGAGCAGCTGCTGCTGTGACATGCCCAGCGATTTCTCCAGCTGCTCGCAGTAGCTGTCCATGCGGTTGCTAAAGTCCTTATAGCGCTGATCCACTGAGGCGACCCACTGCTTAATCGAACTGGCATGCGCATGCCCCTTCTCCACCAGACTATCGGCCAGCTGGATGAGCAGCTTTACTCGCTCCCGTGTCTCCTTAGCCGTGCTGCGAAATTCGTTGTGCTCCTTGAGTAGTCCCTCCGTCTCCTCCCTGGTTATGCCCACCAGATTCGTGCGCGACGATAAATAACCCTCGCCCGTGTTGTGTATCCATTCGATGGCCTGTTTGGCACTCCTTTCGAAGAGCACAAATTGCTGGCATTGATCCAGCGACTTCTTGCGCATCGTCCAAAAGTCGAGTACCTGATTCTCCTGGGTGAGCAATTTGTCCAGCTTACTCTTCACATGCGCCTCGCAATTGCCCTGGGTATATTGATAATATTGTTGCGAACGATTCGCATATTTGAGAAATGTTTCCGCCGTACGGCGTGCCAGGGTGCAGGCCTTTAGGAATGCCTCCTTCTGCTCTTGATGCTTCGATATTAGCTGCACAATCGTTTGGGCCTTATCACTGCTGCCGCCACCTCCGCACCAATCGTCCTCCCTGCGGTATTCACGCTCCAGGCTGTCTAGCACCGAGCACACCTGCTCGGCTGTTTTGTAGAAATTTATGGAGGCTGTCACCAGCTTGTGACGCTCCTCGGCATAGGTCACCAGCTGTTGCCACTTTTTGGTTACATCGTCGCTGATCTCACGTATCGATTTCGGATCGTAGTGATTCGCATTGATCAGCGCATCTGCGCGATATCTCACCTGCACAGCTGACGTGTGCGTCTTCTCAATGGCAATCTAGAGAAAGGATACATTGATCAATTACATAAAACAAATAACATTTAACTGTTAAGTTGACATTTGATGTGTCAAAAATATCTGCTGTTGTGTCTATTCATACTTTTATAAGCTGCTATGTTAAAGTTAAACAGTGTCATATCAGAATATAAGAACATGTTAACAGCTTCTCTTCAATTTAACATTGCTTCTATTAACATAACATAGGCCAACGAGAAGCAAATGCATTATGCATATTACATTAAGAGAGATCTGTAAAATTTTACTCAACAACATTAACATTAGCGGCCTCATGTTAAAATTATCATTAGCATTAACAGCTTTACTTTAAGATCGATTGGCTCTTTACCTGAAACTGTTCGTGTTCCTTGCGTAGCTGCTCCGCCTCCTGCAGACTGTTGGGCGTTAGAAAATTAGCCGTGAGCATTGCCTCGCCATTGCGAATCCAGGATATGACCTGATTGGCATCGTTCTGGAACTGACAAAGCTGCACAGCCTGTTCCAGCTTTGCACGCTTCGCCTCCGACAGCTCCTCCAAGTCGATTTCCCGCTCACGCAAGAAGTCCAACAGATATTCGATTCGTGCCTGCGCCGTATGTGTGGCATCTGCCATGGATATGAAGCCAGCGTTCTCGAAGAGCTGCAGCAGATCTTGACCCTGTTGCAGTACCTCGTACGTCGTGTTCTGTATTTCGGTTACGGATTCGTTGTGCATGCGAATGAGCTGTTCGGCTTTCTGGTAGTCGCGCGAGAGATCTGCATGCTGCAGCTCCTCGGACCACATCTCCAGCTGCGAGGACAGTTCCATGGCATCGCGCTCAAAGTAACGTAAACGCAGAATGAGATCAGCACGAAATTTGCGCGCCGACCACAGCTCCTCGACCTCGATCTTCTGTTTGCTCAGCTTCTCGAGCGTCGCTTCGAGCGCGGCCAGCGAGCCCGTATTGTCCACATACTCGAGTGCGCGCATCTCCTGCAGCAAAGCCTCTCCCTGAGCGATCAGTGTCATGCAAGTGTTCACTGTGCTGTCCTGCTGATCTCTGTATTGTTGCAGCAAACGCTCGATGCCCTCGAGGTTCTCCTGCGAGAGGCGCGTCTCATCTGTGCTCACGTCCGTGCGCAACGACTCGATCCAGGCTGTCACCTCCTTCTCATGCGTATAAAATATGACAGCCATTTCCAATCGTCGTCGTCGCTGCTCCACACGCTCGGCAAAGCTCGCCACCTGCAGCTCCAGTTCGTGGGCCACCGAGTAAATCTCATTTGGATCTGCTTCGCCACTGCGAGCGAGCTCTTCCGCAGCCGAGAGTAACTTCTCAGCATTGCTGTACGTGTTCTGTGCCACATTCTCGAAATGCTCGTGAGATTTCTGATAGACGCGCGCTTTTTGCAGATTGCGTCCAATACCCGTATTCTTGCGTAGAAAGACTTCGCCATGGTTCTTCAGCCAGTCGAGCACCTGCTTAACATCCTCCTGAAAGAGACGTAGCGCCAGTGTTTGATGCAATCGAATCTTCTCCTGATGCCATTTGGCCTCCAGTGTCCGATGATGTCCTAATATTTGGTGTATAACAGCGAGCACATGGCTGGCGCCTTCGCTATAATCCGCCGCAGGATCTGGCCGTTCATATTTGTTGTAGCCACTGCCGCCGCTATTGCCGCTACTATTCTTGCGATGATCGGGYACACCCGGCGGCGGCGGTTGATTGCAAACGTGCACTAGATGATCCAGCTGATAGAGCAGCTTCTTGCTGGTTGAATGCACCTCCGTATAGGCCTGGCACATGGCCTCGTATAAGGACTGATGTGTCCTTATGGCTGTTTCCAGGCTCTGTATATCCGAGGGCAATGGCTGCGAGGCCTGACAAGCGGCTGCCCAACTGGCCACACTATTGCAGTACTGCTCGGCCTTGTGATGGAAGAGAACGCTCAGTTGCAGCACAGCCGTGCGCTCGTCCAGCCCGGCTCCGAAGTCCTTCCAGGTGCGATCGAGCCGCTGGGCCAAAGTCTTAATATGCTGCGCTGCATAGTGTTGGCTCTCAATGAGCCGAGCTGCCACGGCCAGGATACGATCGATATTCACATTGACATTCATCGAGGCAACGGCGAATTTCTGATGCTCATCCTGCAGCAGCTTTGCGCCCGAATAATTGTGCCCGATTTCCACATAGCTCATTTGGAATACATCCCGATTGTGCAGTATCCAATCGAACATCTTCTCGCAATCCTGCTCGAAGAGGCGCCATTGAAAGCATTGATCGAGTTTGACTTTTTTGTGCTGCCAGAGCATAAGCAAGCGCTCCTGACCCGAGTGGATGAGCTCGATTTGTCGCAGCGCCTTATTAATAGCCGCCGACATGTCTGGATTATTGTGGCTAGCGACGCGTGCGCCCTGCTGCTGTTGTTGTTGTTGCTGTTGTTGCTGCTGTTGTTGTTGCTGCTGCTGTTGGCCAGCGGAGGAGGTGCCCGAGTCGGAGCAGTCCGACGTGGAGGCGCACTGCAAAAGATTAAATTCTCAATTAACATATATACACTATATTTATTTAGATGTCAACTAACCTGCCCTCCTGCTGTGCCGGCATTGGCAGCAGCTGCCATATTGATCTTTGTCAGCAGCTTCTTGCCCTGCATATCCAGATCCTCAATAGGCAGCTTGGTGATCTTCTTGCGCATCTCGTTGTGATGATCGATGGCCAAGCGGGCCAAACTCACATCTTCGGCAAAATCGTTGCGATGCAAATCCTCTTGCAGATCATCGATGCGATCAGCCATATCGCCCGCTTGCCAAAAGAAGTCCTCTATGGCCAAGCGTGCATCGGTCCACTGCTGATGATCGTACACCTGCTGTCCATCGAAATCGGATGTTAGCTGATGCGATTCGGCAATTTTGTTGAGTGCCTCGATCGATATCGTTTGCGTTTCGAATTTATATTTGTTGGAACTGATCGAGGCGCGTTGCTTCTGCCAGAAATTGTCCGGCTTGATGATCACCACGTTGTGAATGTTGGCGCTGAAATGCTCTTGGAGCACCTTCAATATTGTCTTCACATTCGTCGAACAGTTGCCATTGCCACGCATATCAATAATGACTGTGAAGCCGAGATTCTTGGCCGCATCGCTGCAAGTGAAAGGTGACCATTAACATAACGTTCAACGTGATAGTGAGCGAGCGAAAGAGAGAGATGGAGGAACGCAGAGAAAGAGAGACAGAGACGCGCAGAGCGAGTCAGCAAAGTGTACGTGAGTGAGAGTGTTGTTGTTATTATGCTCTAGGAGATTGTATACTCAATATGTTATGAAGTATGTAACATATCGAGAATTTAAGATCAGTAATGATCTTTAGATAAAATACAGGAAATTATTAAGAATACTCTTTGTATAACACTTTAAGCACCAAATGGAGTATTTATGAAATAGAGAAAGCATTGATCATTAAATGATCATATATATATTATATTGATAACTGTTGACCGACGATCCTCACTACAATCATATACAGTCAAAATGCATATTGTTTATTAAACGATCTATTCTCTTCATATATACTTGATATACATATCTATATAGATCCCCTATCCGTCTACATATCAAACTATTTACCTATCGATCTATCTAAAGATCTTAAATATTAATTAACATCGTATTCGCTGAAAAGTTCATCAATCGGAGAGTTCAATATCCTTTAAAATGTCGATAATCCTATTAATCAATTCACACGATCAGCCCAAAAAGGTACAATTTATACGAAGTGTTATTCCCTCACATATTTTACGCTTTCCCTTACATGGTTCTCTCGATAGATCACTATGGCGCCCACTCTCCACATAGTGTATATAAACTTCTGCTATTTATATCACGAACATGAAATAAAACCTAACTGTTCTTTCTTATTTTCGTAGTTCGATTTGGTCAGATTCTTCGTTTGGTTCGTTGCTCTGTTTACGTCTTTTGCATAAATTACGACTTTTTCACTGGAAGAGCGTCGAGCACAATTTCTATATAACTTTGACACCAATTTCAGTTAATAATTTCCTAAAGACCCTCCACACCCGTTCAAGAGTTTTGCATTGTGTCGTGCTTTGATTTGCATTCTATTTGAATTTTAATCACATCATTAACCATAAATATTTATATTTTATTTTTATATCTCACTCTCGCTGTCTCTCTCTCTCACTTTTCTTCGTATGCCTTGTTCACACTTTTTAAGAATGCCATTTTAGTCGCTAAGTCATGACTTGCTGTTGTTTTTCTTTTTATACCCTGAACCCATTGAAAATGGGAAATCAGGGTATAATGGTTTTGTGAAAAGTATGTAACAGGCAGAAGGAATCATCGCAGACCCCATAAAGTATATATATTCTTGATCAGCACGACGAGCTGAGTCGATATAGCCCTGTCCGTCTGTCCGTCCGTCCGTCCGTCCGTCCGTCCGTCCGTCCGTCCGTCCGTCCGTCCGTATGAGCAAAAGAATCTCAGAAGATATAAGAGCTAGAGAGCTGAAATTTGGCATGCATACTCGTGTATACCATAGGCAGTACAAGTTTGCTTTATTTTTTCGATAACTCGTCCGATAACTTTTTTATCGAGAATAATCGAAAAATCGACATTGTTTTTTCAGCTTAATTTGAACATTTTTAGACCTGGAGACTTCAAATTTGCGTTGTATATAAAGTTAGTAGATACAAAGATTTTGTAATTTACAGATTTTGGATACCACGCCCCCTTCGCCCCAAATTTGTAAAAAACGCATTTCAAGTACTAGAGACTTGTGCTTTGGAATGGACACACATTTTAGCTACATGATTACGCTCTAAAAGTTTTATTAGGATCGTATGTCTACAAAAGAAATTATTCAACAAATAAATTCTCACACTGCAGTGCAGCCCAAGCGCAGCCGCTGCTAGCTGCGCAGTTTGCAGAGCGCGTGCTTATACGTGCATGTGTATGTATGTGTGCATAATAGAAGTCCAGAATGATTAGAATWTCAGTTTGGAGGGTTCAGGGTATCTCCTAGTCGAGCAGTCTCGACTGGAGCCTTCTTACTTGTTTCTTTTTTAGCTTGAGATTCTCGTGTGGTTTCTGCGAACGCATTTCTAGGGGTTTACCCTTTAGAATCGACCAAAATGAAGAGGAACCAAAGCAAAAAGACGCTTCGAGCTCTACACTGCTCAAGAGAAAGGCATAATTGTTGAAATATTAATTGAAAAATTGCTCAAATTGATTGATTGACTGAATRAAGGGAAATGGGCAAACTATAAAAACTTGCTTGAGGGCCGGAATATATTTTCAATAGCAATTTGTTTATATAAGTTTATTGATTGATTGATTGACGATAAACCTAAGCTATAAATGCCAGCCAGAGTAACGTTTTCAATTAGAAGTGTTTTTAAAGCTAATTTCTGTATATAATATAAATTTGGAATCACACCTAGATTTGAAAGCAAAGCCCTTACCTTGGGCATGTTTATATCATTTTTCTTTCTCAGTATTCTAAAGATTTCTGTATTCACATTGCAGTCACCAACCCAACTTTGTGTGTGTTCTTGAATGACTAATAACAAAACAGAATAAAAATAAATAAAAAAACAAACTGGGTGCACGACATATTTATGGGCGGAGAGGCAAACGTTTAAATAATTCTTTCTTTCATTTGTTTATCAACAGCTGAAATCGGGGAAACAAGCTGCCTCGAATCAAATCGAAATGCCATACAAAAAATCGTGTTTCTTCTCGAATGTCGCCCGTAGGAAAAGTTCGAAGACAAAAAAAAAAAGCGAAATGCGAACTAATCAAAAATCGTTTATTTAACCCATAAATCGTTTGGAAATTAAACAAGGGATTCACAAATGGCATCAAAACGAAAAGAAACGAAACAAAATGAAATGAAATGAAGCGCCAAAGGAAGTTGGCCTCGAACGTGTCTAAAATTTTGAGCGCCCATTGTTGTTGTTGCATATATTAGTATTGCTATTGTTATTGTTGTTGTTCTTGTGGGAGTGAGTTAAACAAGAAATTTGCATTGACGCGCGACTCAGCTGCCCAAATGAGCGCTAAAGACAAAGCGCGCCCCAGCGAAGGAGAAGAAATAAACAAAAATGTTTCGCATGAAAACAAAATAAAAAATAAATAAAAAGGAACGACACAACAACAAAGGAAAGCAGAAACAAAACAAAATAAAACAAAGTTATAAACCGAAGAAAATAACAAGAGAGATTTCAATAACGGTTGACCAACTAACTGATACCCTGTTATTAGGCAGAAGGACATTAAACATAGGGTATGTTTGATCTATAAGTGAAATCATTAAAAAGGAATAATTAATATTCTATGTATGTATGTATATTGATAATTAATGATTTCAACGACTAATTGATATATTGATAAATTGCTCATATCGTTAATAATCGATATACAATATTAATTATTATTGTTATTATTATATTATTAGGAAGCAAACGTAACCAATATACCCTATTTTAAGCACTTCGTATAAGTACGGAGCATACAAAACAGAAGAAGCGATAAAGCGCACATTTGGGCAAACAGCCAAGAAGGCAAGACGCAGAAGAGAAAGAAAGAGAGAGCACGAGAGAAAGAGGCAGCTAGGGGAAGAGAGAGAACAACGTAATTCTGAATGACAGCGCGGCGATAAGACAAACACGCCGTGCCGTCACTACACTTCGTATATATACTAACGTATACATACATGTRTGTATATATGTCCCCATTGTATGTATGTATGTATGGCCCCACCAAAACAAATGATTGCGCGCGCTTATCAGTCAAAGTTGAGGCGTCAGCATTTGAGATTTCTAGCTTGAATGCTCGTTTATATGTGGGCCAAAGAGATAGCGCTTACTAATTGGGGGCGGGGGCCACAGCCATCAACAGTCACCAATAGGTGGCGCTGATAAGAAAGTGCAGAGCATGGGAAAATGGGGAACAACAACAACCACACGCTGTTGACTGTGATTCATTAACGTCATTTTCTTTCTTTTTGGGTCTTCGTTGCTTTTCACTACTCAACGAAAAATCTTGTGAAAATAGCTCACGAATTTTCCAATGAATAAGCCAAAGGAAATATATACATACATATAATCACATACATATATACTGTATGTCGCAATTTTCATTGAGAGGTGCACATCAAAAATTTTATGACTTGTTTTTCGGGTTTTTAAGATCAATCAAGATCATTCATGAGAAGCATTTCTGCCTAGCAATTGTTGAGTGCTTTATGGCAAATTATATTCGACTTAAAACAAATGGTATTGCAGTAAGCATACCCTGTAATTTAGGCATTTATATAACAAGCTTATATTGTATATATGATATGAATCAATACAAATCGTTTTGCATGTCCTCCCCTGAGTCCATGCAAAGTATAGGGTATGTCCAAGTTGCCTCATATCAACTAAATGTAGTATTGTAATTTATTGTATTAGGTTCGTGCTCTCAATAATACGCTTTGCTCTATAGCCTAATAAAAATCATGTACAGTGAACACTCATTAGCGAAAACAAATGACATACGAAGGCCAAATTTAGAATTATTTATTTAGAATTTAACCTTTAGAATCAAAGATGGTAATTCAAATTTCTTAGTCATATTTATTGCTCCCCTTTAATATTTACTTTAAGCTCTGTTTATAATCAAATCGTATTGGAAGACCATAAAGTTCTTTATAATCCTACGGTCCGTATTCCAATCGATTCCAGGTATAAATTTTATTCAAATTCAAACATAAAACCAAAAAAAAAAAAAAAAATTAAGAAGAAATATTCGCATTCCACCTTTCATTTCGTTTGCTTTGCTCTGTTTCGCTTTTTCTTAACTGCTCAAAGCACTTTGACTCTTGGCCGCCTTAATTCGCCAGAAACGAAAACAAAAACAACAACATTAACAGCAAGAGCAACAACAGTAACAGCCATTTAACAGAGCTTTCGACTCACGCCGCATTCTTTTGGCAAACGAGCATCGCGAAAATGCCGGTTTACGCGTTTTGCTTTTTGTTATGTATTTTCTCTATTGCCTTCTTTGTCGCACAGATTTATGCAATTTGCTGTTTGCCAGCTACCGAGCGAAAAAAGTACAAAATGACGATGAAGAAGCGTAACATGTCTGCCTCTCCCTCTCCCCCTCTCTCTCACACACACTCACAGAGAGCTGCATTCAATGTCAGCCTAGGCTGCAAGAACAACACCAACAACAATGTGCGTGCTGTTTGCCATTGTCGACGACGACGACGACGACTGCGACGCGACTGCGACAGCGGCTGCTTGATGATTCATAAAACATGCAAGAACTGGAAAATCAAGTGGAATGCATGCAGCTGCAGCTGCGCGGGTGAGGCGACAGCCAAAAACCGCAAACGAAGCGCAGCGCAGCGTCAGCTGACACAATGGCCTCTCATTGTGAATGCTGCCTGCGATTGTGAGTGCGAGTGCGAAAGAACCAATAAACATTTTGCAACAATAAGTAAATAGAAGTAAAGTATCGATGGCAGTTATGCAGTATCGATTGTTTACATTACTCACCTGGGTATGCTAATCAAGTAGATAAGCAGGCGACGCAAATCCTCCGGTTTGAGGCGATCCCGGCGCGGCGTTGCCGGAAAACATAATAATGGTCCACCACGCCTATCACGCCCACCAGTGAGAAATACAACGCGCTCCTGCAGCAGAGTTAACAGATCGCGGGCACGTTGACCATCCATGTTGTTGTTTGTATGTGTGTGTCTGTGTGTGTGTGTGTGTGCAGCTGTTTTAATAGTCTTTAACTATTGTGAGGGTAGCGCAGCATAACGGACTCGCCTTCAATTTCACTTAATTTGAAATATTTATTATTAATTTAGTTGTTGTTGTTACACTTTTGCTTGCTTTGAAGGCTTTCATTGATTTTTGCGAATTTCTCGCTGCCATTTTTTTCATGGTCAACGCAGCAGCAGCGGCACTATATATGTATGTATATATACACATGCATGTGTTAGTTGGGTGTGTATGTGTGTGGGGGTAGGCGGTTTGTTTAGAAAAAAGAACGGACAAATAAGAAAAATATATACAAATGGTCACACTCAACACAAAGCATATTAATTACATTTTAGGCAAATTTTGTATCATATGGGCAGCCCCACACAGACAGATAGGGAGACACAAGCACGACTACACAGACAGATAGGGACGCAAACACACACACATGACACGAAACACCCCCACCGAACAGCGGTTAAATGTTAAATGTCATAAATCAACTCTACGCCGTGTCACGCAATGGCCGCATAAAGCATAAACGCGGAAATACATGCATATATACATAAACATACATACACATACACATGCACATGTATATGTTCTTATTTTTAAAACACACGCGTGGGCGAGGGGCACAAGGGAGATATGTTGTTATTTTTTGCAGCTGCACAACGCGCGCGTTTAATAATTTTTAATTGCCATTTTTACAATATGGGGCTTTAGTTTTACGAACTCCATCAACAATCACATCATCCGCCTTCGACGCACATCTTTTCACAGTTGCGTCTCGTTTCGTTTCGTTTGAGATGTTGTCTGCGTCTTGTATCGCCTCCTCTCGCTCACTATATACGTCTCTCTCTCTCGCTCTCCCTCTTTCCACCTTCTGCTACTGTTACTTCTTCATCTTCCTCTTCTTCAAACCAACACTAAAAACGCTTCTGGGATACAAATTGATTTTTTTCACTCGTTTGCGTTTGTTCTGACTGCATAAATGCACATTACCATAACACGCGCGTTTGCATTGTTTCATTTTCGGCAACGCTCTGATCATTCACATCATTTTTATTTACACTTGATCCGTATTTATTTAAACAAATTTGCGGAGCAACAAAAATTTTCGCGAAATTTATGCGCTTCGCTCACTTTGTTGTTGCACTGTTAATGGTTCTTGCTTGCTATGTTAACTCAAAATGGAAATGTTAGAGCTAAGAAGAGTGACCAGTTGCGTGATGACCAAAAAATACCAAAAGTATACATAAAATATGTTGCTAGTATTTTTGTATGCTGGAAATGCCAATTAGACTGTTGTTGCTCGCCAGTTGTTATTTAAACTATTAATAATAATTATGTTTATATTATATCCAAAAGGATTTTTTATTTAATAGCCCAATTCGAAATAAAAATTCTAGCATGTTAAATCATAACGATGTGATTATTCAAATTATGCGGCCCCTTTGGGAATACCAGCTGGTTCGATCAATTTACGACGATCTGGCAACTCTAAGTCATAACAAGGCTGCCACCACTCACAACCAAATCATCTGCTGATTTCGACAAGCAGGCAACACTACAAACTTAATTGCAATAAGAATTTTATATTCCTTCTGGAAAATAAACAAATTGTAAAAATTCTGCGTAAAATCAAAGTTGCATTGCATCTGAAGAAGCGCCGATCGAAGCACAAGCCCGTAGAGCAACAGGCACTGTCACAGTCACATCCACAGCAACAACAACAACGCCACCATCGCTGTAACCAAGACGACGACGGCAACGCCAGCTGCAGCCAGATGGAAAGCAATTTGAATAGAATGATAAACCAAACGCTGCGTCATCCGCTCAGCGGGCAGCTAAGCAAATATACAAATGTAATGAAGGGTAAGGTAAATGAAATATCACGGTATACTACAATTTACACAGTCGATCTCTCATAGGCTGGCAATACCGTTGGTTCACTGTGGACGCCAAGACGGGATATTTGAGTTACTATTTGTGCGACTCTTCGGCTGTGGGCGACGACATTGCGCCCTCGCCTCATGTGCTGGCCAACACTCCGCGGGGTCAGGTGCAGCTGGCCGGCGCCGTTGTCTATCCCAGTGACGAGGATTCACGCACCTTTTCCATTGCCTGTGCTTCGGGAGACACGTTAAAGCTGCGCGCCAGTGATGCACGAGCTCGCCAGGAATGGGTTGATGGACTGCGCGCCGTCGTCGAGAGCCACACACAGGCCATGGACATAAGCAACTCATCGCCATTGCCGGCACGCGAACTGCTGGCCGCTTCGGATGCAATGGTTGCCGCTCGACAGGCTCTATTCCTCACCGAACAGTGGTAAATCCAATCTCGCCATCCCATTCTATATTAGCTGCTCTACAATGATCTCTAAATTGTTCTTTCTAGCAACGCTTCTTTGGCACGCGCCATTGAAAACATTGACTGTGCTTCCTTTTCGCCCACGGATCCGGACCTATTGCTGCTGAAGGCCATCTCCACGGCCAGCACACAGTGTCTGCATCAATGCCTTGGCCTGCTGCAGCGTCACCAGGAGATCAATCAGCCCCAACTGGAGGAGGTGACGCCGCCAAGTATTAGTTTGGCTCTGCAGTAGCAAATCTAAGTTAATTTCTCTTCTGTTGTTATCAAAAAGCAATAAAAAATAAAATACTGTAAATACTAAACAATTACCAAATAATTATATGAACCTAACATTTATTTAGATAGATAATATAATATATAGTATATATTCCTGATCAACAAATCTTGCTGGGCGTAAAAAAAACTCGTACTCTTCCATTTTTTTTTGTTTTTATAAAATATTTTTTATTCCATTTTTTTGTTGATTTTTTCTTTCTCTTTTTTTTTTTTGTTATTTGATTAATAAGAAACATTCATTTCGACATTTAAAAGTTAATTTGAACATAAAGTTTTGCACTAAAGTTGTTTTGATAAAAAACGTATAATAATTATATATATATGTTTATATATATATAC